CGGACCCGGCCCAGCGCACGGACGCGCGGACGGACGGACGGACGGACGCGGACGGACGCGGCCCCTCCCTGCCGCCGCCGCCCGCCCGCCCGGGGCTCCCACCTCGCCGGCGCCGGGCCCGGGAGCGATGACATCGACGGGGAAGGACGGCGGCGGGGCGCAGCACGCGCAGTATGTGGGGCCCTACCGGCTGGAGAAGACGCTGGGCAAGGGGCAGACAGGTGCGTGCGGGGCCGGGGCGCCGGGGGGGACGTGCCTGGGGCTTTCGGGGAGACAGGGGCCCGGGGGGAGCGGGAGCACCGAGGGGGACCCGGGATCCGGCGTAGGGAGCCAGGGGACCGCGGCACGGGAAGGGGGGGCGCAGGGGACCGCGGACACCGATGGAGAACGGGGGCCGGCGGGACCGGGCCGCCGGGGGACGGGGGCTTCAGGGAGACCAGGGGTCCATGGGGACCGGGGACACCGAGGGGGCCCGGGGACACGTGGGGGGGCCAGGGGACCGAGGACATCGAAGGGGACTGGGGGCATGGATGAGGACCGGGAGCCGGGAAGGGCCGGGGGCGCCGGGGAGCAGGGGCGCACAGGCCCGCGACCGGGGAGGCCGTGCTGACTGCGCGCCTAGCGGGGTGGGGGGGCGCCAGGAAGGAGGTCGTCCCGAGCGGGGAGCTGTAGGCCCGGCCCGCGGCTCCGGCCGGCGGCCGCGAACAATGGGCGGCTGGGCGCCGGGTCCCGCCGCGGATCCCGCAGGCCGCGCGGCTGCGGTCGGCCGGGCGCGGCCCAAGGACACGCGGCGCGGACGGGGGCGCACGGGCCGGGCCGGACCGGGCCAGCGCCCCTCGGCTCCGGCTGCAGGTGCGCGGCCCCGGCCGCATTGTGCGCCGGAGCGACCCGGCCCATTGTGCCGCGGGAGGAGGGGGCCGAGCGGGCGCCCATCTGCCGTCTGCCGCGGCCGCGCTAATAGGCGTGCTGCCCGAGCAGCTGCGCCCCGGGCCGCGCGCCCCCGGCCGCGACCCCCAACTGCCGCCGGCGGCGGCGGCGGTCGTGTGGCGGCGGCGGGCAAGCAAGCAGGCAGGCGCGCAGGGAGGCGGCCCTACGCGTCTTGAGGGCCAACCAGGCCACCTTGGCCAGGCTCGGACCTTCCTCCACGGTGGGAGTGGGAGAGTACCAAGGCGCCCCGGAGGGCTGGACAGCGCCTTGCCCTCCTCTAGCCGCTGTTTGGAACGTCTGCGACACTGCACTCCCCAGGGGAGGGACAGGGAGGCTGGTGCTGGGCCCTGTTCGGGATCCCGGACCATACATCTCCAAATCCCAGCCTGCGGGAGGAGGCAGGGCCCTGGCTGGTCCTGGCTGGCTTTCTGGTGATCAGGCTAGCTCCCAGCCTAGCAGCCATCCCCTCATCCAGCTGGCCAGGCGTTCACAGAGTGGCTTTGTGGGAGGCTGGGCTCAGCCATTTTCTTTCTTCTCCCAGGATGGGCCTCTCCTGGCAGCCCAGAGGTCCGATTGGCACTGACTGCTTCTCCCTGTCTCTCTGGAAGTTCCTTAGACCCAGGGCTGGCAGAGGAGAGGAGGAAGGGAGGAAGAGGGTGCAGCAGTGCTGGTCCCACCCTGCTGGTGCAGGGTGGGGGTCCAGGAGGGAGCTGCTCTGGCCAGGAGGCTGCAGGCCCTTCCCAAGGCCCTTGGGTGGCACGGAGTTGCAGCTAGGAGGTGGTGTGAGGGAGGAAAGTGGGCCAGGCCCTGGGCTCTCCAGGGAGGGCAGCGGCTGTGATGGAACTAAGGCAAAGTGCCTAGGAAGGGACCTGGCAGGGGCAGTGGGAGCTGCCCCTCTCCCACTCTGGGGGGACAGCCTCTGTGCCCACCACTGAGACCCCAAGGGGCCTCTGGCAGTGGGGCAGCACTGTTGGGAGAGGGGATGGTGTGGCCCGGGGTTCAAGAAGGAGGTGGCAAAGAGCTGGTGTTCGTCTGAGTTCAAAACATGCATGTTTCCTGCAAGGAACAGCTGTGGTTGGTGAAGTCCTCAGTGGGGGAGGGACCTGGGGCAGCAGAATGTGGGAAGCAGTGAAATAATCTAATTATCGTACCAATAAAATGTGATTATAAGGAAGCGTCGTCGTGTGAGTGGTGACAGCAATGAGTTATACGTGGGCCGTGCTCGCCCGTCTCCATGGCGGGGGCTGGTCTCGTACTCTCCACCGAGTTATCTGTTGTACAGGTAATTACGGGAGGTTTCCACTGTAATTAACAGTAGCGAATACAAAAGGATGTGCTGTGCGCGTGTGTCAACAACACGTTGCCCTGTGATGTTTAGAAGCAGCTCCCAGGGGCGCACAAAGTGAGCGGCCTTCCTCCTCGGGTCCCTCTCTCCTTCGAGGGGAGTCGCTGCTGGCCTAGTGGAGCCCCCCCGGGGGGGCTGTCCATCCCGCATTCCTTCTGGCTTCGTCGAGTGCCGGCAGCCCAGGAGGGCTGGGGGAGGCTGTCCTCTTGGTGCTGTCTCACTGTCCCTTCTGTGGAAGGGTCATCTGGAGTTTGGTGGACGGACGTGAGTCCCTGGGGTGTGGGTGCTCTGGGCCTGGCCCCGGGGCTTGCTGGCTGGTCTTCAACATCAAATGCCAAGAGAGTTGCAGTTTCCTAGGCCTGTCCTTTTGCTCCGGAGATAAACGTGTGACCTTATCTGGGGCTAGGCTTTCTGCCAGGAGACCTCAGCGGAAGAATGAAGGACTGTAGTTCCAAGTGCCACCCCCCCTGCAGCCCACTGCAGATGACCGCGTGCCCGGGTCCCCCCCGCCTGCCCCACACGACAGCATGCCCGGGTCCTCCCTGCTCTTCACGTGCACTCTGCCCAAGTCCTGCAAAGGGGAAGCTGTGGTCGGGGAGGGAGTCAGCCGGGCGGCCGCTGGTCCTCTCAGCCCTGCACATCCTGAGCCAGGGCCCCTTGGAAGGGGTGCCTGCTGCTCTGCCCCAGGCTGCGGCCTTCGGGACTCAGGTGGGGTGGGGAGTGCTGCCCAGGGCGGAGCTGGTGGCAAGCCTGGTCCAGCCTTTTTACCGCAGCCTTCCCGTGGCCCGCAGCTGTTGGTTGGTGCTGGGCTCTGCGGGCGGCTCTGTCCTTCGCGCGGGTGTTAGGCCACCTCTCCGGGCTGCTGTGGCTGTGGTTTCCAGCACATCTTCCTTCTGCCTGGGCATCTCCGCACAGCTGTCCTTAACGTTCTGGGGGCGCCTGTGTCGGCAGCCCCAGGAGGCCTCTGTCCCAGCCAGTGTCATGTTTTCCACTGGGGGGTTGGGTTTTCAGGACCTGCGGGGAGACAGGTGTCACTGCCGAGGCTGTCCATCCGGTCCCTGATCCAGGAAAGGCGTCTTCGCCTGGGGGGCAGAGGCACCTGTGGAGGGTGCCGGTGGGTCCCGAGTGGGTCCTGGTAGGCGAGTAGAGCTGGGGGGTGTCGTGCACTGTGTCGCTCTGGACCGTTCAGGCTGGAGAGCAGAGCAGGGCCTGCCCAGACCCGAGCCTGACAAACGTGGCTGCAGCTCAGCAACCAGAAGGCCGGGGGACCCCGCTGGAGGAGGAGGACAGTGGGCTCTGGGTCTTGTTTCCCGAGCTGTGCCGCCCAGTACGATGCGGGGCTCTCGGAAACCCTCTGTCTGCGGGTGGAAACCAAGGAGGCGGCGGCTAGGGCCTGGTGTTCATATGAAGGGTCAGTCCAGCTCACAAGAGACGTGGGGCGGGGGGCACCCTGCGGCTCACCTGGCTGCCCTGGGAGACTGGTGAGGGGTGGCGAGAGGGAGGAGACGGGACTGCCACACTGAGGGAGCTGGGACGGCCCCTGGAGGTCCTCGAGGGACCTTTAGGAGAATTCCCATGGGGTGCCGGTGTCAGGTAGGCTGGAGAGGAGTTGTGGGGTGGGGGAAGCTGGCAACGATGGGACACGTGAGGGAGGGGAGACAGGTAGACCCGCAGGTGCCCCATGGCCCCGAGCTGGAGCAGATGGAGCAGGCCCGAGGCAGGAATGGGAGGAGAGGTGCCTGGGGCACGGAGGATGTGTTTGGTTTTAGAAAGTTGAGCAGAAGACAGCTTGAGAGCCAGCGAGAGGCTGTGGGGGGGGCCCTGGAGATAGGGGACGGGGGTGGGCTGCTGGAGTTGGCCCCAGGGTGCTGTTGGGAGCTGAGGCCCAGAGAAGGGGATGCAGCCAGAGCAAAAGGAAGGTAGACGGGGCGGAGAGTGGCTGGGCCTCTGCTGGCCATGTGTGGACGACCTCCTGTGTCTGGGGATCTCTCCTCCCGCCCCGTGAGCCTCCGCCCTCGGTGCAGCAGGCGGGCCTCTGTCTGTCTAACCCGTCTCCGAGCCAGGACGCAGGCTCCGAACCGAGTGCTCTGCTCAGGGACAGCAGCTCCCTGGGGGTGGAGGGAAAGCCCCGCCTGCTCATGGCACAGGCTCGGTTTCAATGTTCAAGTAGCAGGACCCTATTCTCTAGTAGTTGTGGTCCGAGCCCCCCACACCTGTCTCCCCCGGGGCCCCTGGAGCTGCTGGAAAGGCCTGTGTCCTGCCAGCGACTGAGCAGCACAGGCGCTCCCCAGCCCCCCTCCCACAGTGCATGCTGTCCCCCAGAAGCCCCCAGCTGGGACTGAGAGCTGTCCCTGCCAGTGGAGGGGAGCTCAGCTTGGAGGTTTCTGGGGTCATGCCTTAAAGGACGGGCTGTTTTCTGAAGGTAAAGATGGGAGGGTCCAGGGGGTGGCCTGAGGCCTAGGACCCTGGTCTCAAAAGTGTCCCCTGCCCACTATGGTCGGTCACAGCTCTGAGTACCCCCGAGTTTTCATAGGTCCCACCTGCCGGGGATTTGTGTGTAGCCGGAAGGACGTGCCAGGTGCAGGGCTTGGCCTGGGCAGTGCAAAGGGGAAGCCAGTGCTGCCAGGCTGGCTCCAAGCGCTGAGGCCAGTACCCCCGCCCCCAGCCAGGGTTCCCACGGTGAGGTGGGAAGAGCGTGTCCTGTGCCCAGGGGCCTGGTTGTCTCTAGAGCTGTCTGGGAACAGGGTGCTCCCACCTGCAAGGGTAGAGACGGGGCCAGAGCAGGTCGACATGGAAGGCTCTGGGTGGGGGGGCAGCCACCCAGGACTGTGTTTGGGGGAGAGGAGCCACACAGTGAGGCGCTCCGGGTCCTGCCCCCGAACCCAGCCTGCCTGAGCGTGGCCAGGGGCATCCTGACCCTTTCTGGGGTCTGAGAGGCTTGGCCACACC